TGTGTTAAAATTCCCCTACAAAATTGATTTAGCCAAGGTAACTCGCCCTATCTAAACAACACCTGGCATACTCTATCTCCCTTTAATGTGAAAAACCTGTATACATTTCTTGGACTGTCTATCTATATAGATCATAAAATTGTTAATCGTTAACTACATATCAGTCAATTATCAATAAATATCAGAGAAGTACCTTTGATCAAAAATGCCCCCAAATAGTCTGAAAGAAATGAATATATTTCACACCACTGGTGAGCATATATGTAATTGTAACAAAAGAAAATCCAGAACATAATTTATGAGCAGCCCATGATTAAAAACCTAAGTAAAGTTTGTGAATTGTTTGAGTAAATTATGACTTTATCATGTTTATTCTGTCACAAAGGTTTATGTACGAAATTATCAATGACACTATTTTCATAGTGATGTTAATTAATCAATTTTCCTATCTATGGTATTTCTGATTATTCAATCATTTAGCCAGCCCTAGACATTTCTTACACCCGACTCCATGTCCTGTACTCTGGCCATACAAAGCAACATGGGAGCAGTGTTGACTACAAAAACAGGGATTCTAAGATTCCATGTGTGTATTCTCAATGTATTCGATTCAAACAGGACACAATATTGTCTGTCTTGTTAAATCCCTATCTCAGTCATTTTTTGACAACATTTCTCTGTTCGGCTCAGGCTACTCATAGCAAGCATTAACTCTGCTTGATCAGGGCAAGAGGAACAGTCAGAATGGCCCTAAATGTGGACAAAAAGAAACTGATCAGGAAGTGTAACAAGAAAGCTGAATCATGACTACTACAATAATGGGACATTTATCTGGACAAATATACAGAACAAACAGATAATGCTCATCTAGGGCCAGTGGGACAAGTGGGATGTCCCTTATGCTGGATAATGATAATATAAAACAGTACAAGACACTCTAGTTGTGTAGCTTTCTCCAAGGTCACAGTGATATGCCTAAGGCTGGGAAACTAGAAACTAGATCAAGTCAATGAGACTAGATCGAGTCAGTGTGACTGTCATCTTTTGATTGATACACAATAAATGAAAAATAATCTTTATAATTCAAAAGTTATTTGTCCTATAGATTTTAAAACATACATCCAGTAGAGACTTGGGGAAACCCTTATTGACAAAGAAGTTATGGTTTGCAAGACTTCTGCAGTAACTGAAAAAAAGAAGCATTTAATTTTGATTCAATGTCTGAGCCAATCAGTGAGTGAGTGAGTGAGTTATTATTTAACGTCACATCGGCAATATTTCAGCCATATCGTGACGAGAACACTTGACATTGAAATAGAATATATAGAGATCTGAGCCAATCAGAATCCCTGCAAAGAGGATAAGACATACTCTGTAATAATGAGCCAATATATTAAGACAAAAATTGAAGACTGAAAGGAAGCCATGGCTACAACACGACTTGATTAATTTCATGTTATCACATCCTGAATTGTGCTTAGTATCCATCACCAGTTTATCTGGTCTAATAAAAACAACACATCATACAGCTGGACTAGTGCCAACTGTAACGTTAAACAACAAACAAAAACACTTAATCCCCTTATGTAACAGTATACGCACAGTCGTGTTGGGTGCAGATTGTTACGTAATCCAACATGACTGTTGCCTTCCGGCCATATTTCCTCTAATTCCACCTACCACAACTCTCCAAGTTAATCCACTCTCACACTACTGTTAACTTTATTAACCCTTTGTATTGTGGCCCTCCTTAACCCTTTCCATTGTGAGGGTGGTTAGCCCACACACTGTGAGACAGATGGAATACTCTCTAACACTTACTCTCACTCAATCGGGCGGTGGGGTAGCCTAGTGGTTAAAGTGTTCGCTCGTCATGCCAAAGACCCAGGATCGATTCCCCACATGGGTACAATGTGTGAAGCCAATTTTCTGGTGTCCCCCACCAGTATGTTTCTGGAATATTTCTAAAAGCGATGTCAAATCGTACTCACTCACTCACCATTGTGACCCTCCTTAACCCTTCCATTTTGCCCTCAGTTAACCCTTTCCACTGTGAGCCTCCTTCAGTTAACCCCTTCCATTATGACCCTACTTAACCCCATCCATTGTGACCTGGTGGTTTTCAATATCACAGTGCATATCTAAGCAACACATGGAGGATGTTTTCTCCACACATCATCTTAAATTTCTTGTTTCCCTGTTCTACTTCCTCCTCATCTTATCACAACTAAAACATCTAAACTTTCAACACCGTGAACACACTGAGCAACCGATCTGGGAGCGGCCTTCAAATAAGCTCTTCGGAGAATGTTGGCCAATCCATTCATATCTTCATGAAGAAATATGTTTAAACCACATCCAACCTTGGATCCCACAGTTTACAGTATACATATAATACATTTGTAGCGGCTATAATATTTCCGAGTCCCTTGCTGGGATTCAAACCACAGACCTTCTGATCCGAAGTCAGATGCCTTGTCCACATGACCAAAGAGGTTAACCCTATCAGCAAGTTGAGATGGTAAGGATGTCATCTGTGGGAAAACTCCACAACCTGCTATAGAGTATTACAAACAAACATCATTGCATTAAAAATGAATTCAGTATTGCAGTCGGTAGTATCTAATTATAACATTATATAATGCTGAAAAACAAACAGATGCATTTGATCATCCTTTCAAAGTCATTATTGCAAGGACTATAGATGATATCTATTGATCAAACCTAACATTTACTAATTACATGACCTGTGAAAATCCGGGGTAGAATAGGTCTTCAGCAACCCATGCTTGCCATAAAAGGCAACTATGCTTGTCGTAAGAGGCGACTAACAGGATCGGGGTGGTCAGGCTCGCTGACTTGGTTGACACATGTCATCGGTTCCCAATTGCACAGATCGATGCTCATGCTATTGATCACTGGATTGTCAGGTCCAGACTCGATTATTTACAGACCGCTGCCATATAGCTGGAATATTGCTGAGTGCAGTGTAAAACTAAACTAACACACTCACTCACTAATTACATTCCTAACCTTACTTGTGAGGTTTATTACACCTGAAAGGTTCCATGCCATTGTTCGGGCAATGTGTTTCCACTGTCCATAGTAAAACCCTCAGGAATCTTACAAGTTTAAACTGTGTTTTGTTTATTCTACTTTCCCTCTTTCTTTAATTAAGTACTTTTCTTGGGTGGGTAAGCGGAATAGGGACAGACTCACTCACTGAGATCAACACAAACCATGACTAGTTCTGTGGAAAGTAATTTGTTCCAAGGAAATGTAAAACCACGAAATAGAATGTGAATCGTCATTTGTAGTCTGAAATACCTCAGCATCTAAACGGTGAGGCATGATGTGGGTGTTATTAACCATGGTTATGAGTACATGTTAAAGAGAGTTTCACAGCGTTTAGCAGTATTGACAGTATCGAAGGTGATAAGAGCATTTAAACCTCACATAAACACTGGTTCTATTTACCTATGACTGTAACAACATCACATCCTGAATACCAATCACCAATATGTTTCACATAGATACAACAATCTTGGTCCAAACTATACAACTGAAAACTTTACATAGCTGTCGTAATTACCGGTACTGGATTTCTTAGTAAGAATATTACAACTGGACATTAAATGTATGAACAAAACACTATATGGAACCCTGACCCATACATCTGTGATGCTGGCTTGTGACAACTCTGATGTTTTCTGCCCACCAGCTCATGGATGAAATTCTAATGTTGTACCATGTTCCATTAGGAAGAGAGAAACGGTAAAAGTAAAAGATTAGTTCCCTTGACTCAATTACTACAGGAGCAATCCATGCGGACTCCTGAATCTTCTATAAACTAGGGTACATGGTGCAGGAAGTTTCTAGTAATAAACAGGTAAATAAAATATTAAAATTGTACAATGTGTCACCAGAAACCGACATGGTTTGATTTTAATAAAGTCTCCCCATTAAAAACATTCCATTATTTTTGTTTTTTGTCTGCTATAATTTGGGAATTCAATTTCGGTTTTCAGAGAACAATGGCCGACCATAGAACAACCATGACAAGTTGATTCCTTTGATGGCCATCAATGTCCAGGGGAGTGGGGTAACACCAAAGCTACACCAAAGCCCCCAGTGAATGTTTGGACTTGGTCAATTAGCCTGGAATATTTTCTTTATTCGTATACTACAAAAAACTATTGAATCTTTTTCAGTTATTTCTTCTGAACTAAGTACTTGGCTTGGCGCGCTAGTCTTGGGTCCATACAAGTTTCTGTGTTCGGTTTTATTTCAACATTCCAAGGACTGATTATTTCTACCTGACACAGACTAGAACTAGAAGTGTGTGTGTGTGTGTGTGTGTGTGTGTGTGTGTGTGTGTGTGTGTTGTGTGTGTGTGTGTGTGTGTGTGTGTGTTGTTGTTGTATGTCAGGACACATATTGTAATATATATTTCAATACTACACTGTTTATTACAATGTATTATAGAAACATTATGAAGTTGTTCATGTAACTGTATTCAACAAAATATTCAATAACTATTGATGAACCTTCCTCGCCATCCCTACTGATAATGTGATATTATCCCTCCCACAGTCATGCCGCCATGGACATTAACTATTCCATGTCAAGATGTTCTCTGTATGTGACTGTCATAAAATACAGGTGTAGCAAAATCATTACTTTGAGCAAATATTGCATAGACATAACATTAATTGTGTAATCCTAATATGTCACATTGCATACGTGGTATTTTAGTGGATATATAAAGTGCCAAGTGGATATATATTCTCCGAAAGTAGAAAGCTAAGAAACACTACCTATGAAAATGAATTGAAAATGTCAGGAGAGAAGCATATCAAAGGTCTATCTTAATAAAGGATGTTTAAAATAATCTTCTTAAAACATTCTGGGTATGTTTTGGAAGGCAATTAAATGTTGAAAACTCCATAAACTTGACTCATAAAACTTACGTTTCATATAAAAAAACATGATTTACTCACTGGACCCAGTCAATTGAGTGAAGCAGTTGATGACCATTAGTTGGAGAAATGAGATGCTTGAGTGACACAATCACAATAATCCTCCCTGCTACTCATCAGGTAGTATTCCACCCAGTAACAGACAAGGCGGTGGTGGTCGCCGTTACAGTCAGCTCACCCCAGGAGGAAGTGAGTTTGCACTGCTGTGATGTGCAGACTTTCTGCAAGCTCGCTGGTGATTAACTAACTGTGATCCCACACAGCGAGTATAAGCCGATAACCTGCCTTGTGTAACACACACACCGGCTGCTGTATAAATCCATGAACAAATAGCTAAGTCCAGATCACAATAGGCCATTAGGGATACAATTACTGAAAGACCATACACAACTAAGAAGATCAGAACCTGCTATGTTTAACATGGAGGTGAATATGGATGTCAAGACTTGGGTTTGGGACACTCTTACACCTGAACTGAATCATATCCCAGATAAATGCGTTCACCTGAAAGTTCTCAATACAACCAACCTTTTTATTTGCCATCTCTGACTTGGTATCTATGTGATCACGCTTCAGTACACACATTCATTAACTCATGGTTCAGTATCACCACCATAATAACACACTTTCATCTTTTCAGCCCAAGGTTGCCTTCCAGAAACAGTGATGTGCATCGGTCCGAGGTTGCCTTCCAACAGTGATACACATCAGCCTCAGGTTGCCATCCAACAGTGATGTGCATCAGTCCGAGGTTACCTTCCAGCAGTGATACACATCGGCCTCAGGTTGCCATCCAACAGTGATGTGCATCAGTCCGAGGTTGCCTTCCAGCAGTGATACACATCGGCCTCAGGTTGCCTTCCAACAGTGATACGCATCAGTCCGAGGTTGCCTTCCAGCAGTGATACACATCGGCCTCAGGTTGCCATCCAACAGTGATGTGCATCAGTCCGAGGTTGCCTTCCAGCAGTGATACACATCAACCCAAGGTTGCCTTCCAACTGTGATGCACTTTAGCCCAAGGTTGCCTTCCAGAAGCAGTGATGCACATCAACCCAAGGTTGCCTTCCAACTGTGATGCACTTCAGCCCAAGGTTGCCTTCCAGAAGCAGTGATGCACATCAACCCAAGGTTGCCTTCCAGCAGCAGTGATACACATCAACCCAAGGTTGCCTTCCAGAAGCAGTGATGCACATCAACCCAAGGTTGCCTTCCAGAAGCAGTGATACACATCAACCCAAGGTTGCCTTCCAGAAGCAGTGATGCACATCAACCCAAGGTTGCCTTCCAGAAGCAGTGATGCACATCAACCCAAGGTTGCCTTCCAGAAGCAGTGATACACATCAACCCAAGGTTGCCTTCTAGCAGCAGTGATACACATCAACCCAAGGTTGCCTTCCAGAAGCAGTGATACACATCAACCCAAGGTTGCCTTCCAGAAGCAGTGATGCACATCAACCCAAGGTTGCCTTCCAGAAGCAGTGATACACATCAACCCAAGGTTGCCTTCCAGAAGCAGTGATACACATCAACCCAAGGTTGCCTTCCAGAAGCAGTGATGCACATCAACCCAAGGTTGCCTTCCAGAAGCAGTGATGCACATCAACCCAAGGTTGCCTTCCAGAAGCAGTGATGCACATCAACCCAAGGTTGCCTTCCAGAAGCAGTGATGCACATCAACCCAAGGCTGCCTTCCAGAAGCAGTGATGCACATCAACCCAAGGTTGCCTTCCAGAAGCAGTGATGCACATCAACCCAAGGTTGCCTTCCAGAAGCAGTGATGCACATCAACCCAAGGTTGCCTTCCAGAAGCAGTGATGCACATCAACCCAAGGCTGCCTTCCAGAAGCAGTGATGCACATCAACCCAAGGTTGCCTTCCAGAAGCAGTGATACACATCAACCCAAGGTTGCCTTCCAGAAGCAGTGATGCACATCAACCCAAGGTTGCCTTCCAGAAGCAGTGATGCACATCAACCCAAGGTTGCCTTCCAGAAGCAGTGATGCACATCAACCCAAGGTTGCCTTCTAGCAGCAGTGATACACATCAACCCAAGGTTGCCTTCTACATTCCCGCAGTACTGACGCAACACAAGTACAGTAAGATCCCAGTGCGACCACAGCATGTAATCATGAATACCAATTAATATACAATCTTACAGGGATTTACTAGTATAAATGGAGACAAAGTAACATGGAAGATCAAACACTACCTGTATTTCTTACAGAACATCAATACATATAATATACATGTTGGTTCAGTCATTCCAACATCCATAAATGCATCCAGAGGGATTTCAAGAGGATGTCATTTACATCACATTTTATCCGTGCTGGACATAATGTTTAACATTAGGAAAGGCAAGGACATCTGTATGCTGGTCGGGCTCTAAGCTGGTGGTGATAGCTGAAAGCTTGCACTTGAGAGTCTGACTGGCGACATGCTTAAACTGGTTAATGAAACTTTATGATGCTAATCACGAAGAGACAATACCAGTGTCGCTTCATAAATTGGTCTAATCATCTGGATCACAAAATATCTACAAACTATATCTGGGGTTAGAGGTTCATCAAAATGTTATCAGAGGCATATTATTCTGATTATATGGCTAATGTATTGGTGTCCACATAAACATGAGTGAGTGAGTTTAGTTTTATGCCGCACTTGGCAATATTCCAGCTATATGGGGGCGGTCTGTACATAATCATGTCTGGACCAGACAATCCAGGGATCAACAGCATGAGCATCGACCTACGCAATTGGGATACAATGACATGTGTCAACCCAATCAGCGAGCCTGACCACCTGATCCTGTTAGTCGCCTCTTACAACAAGCATAGGTTATTGGAAGATCAATTCTAACCTGCATCTTTACGGGTACCACATAAACATGAATAACACTGATATCAGCCATCACAAAACAGTGTGGTTCTGTTGTTACAGCAAAACAACAATATCCACATTCACTTTCAGGGAAAGAAACCTCTCAAAATTTCCCACTAGACCTTACTGTCTGTACTTCATTGGTCCAAAATAACAGTCATAGATTTACTTAACTATCAATACAAAATTCACTGGCCACTGCAAACTTATCATTAAGTAGTCCTGATGAATTTTTACTAGCCAGGGACCACAGGACCAGCGTATATTTCGCACACTGACTTTGACATAGTTTATATTGATAACTTGGTCAGATATGTGGAAGGTACTGATACATCAGAGCTATAATTCACATGATTAATTCAGTGTATTGAATCAGTTCAAGATCAGGTTTCCATCTACCATCATCTATAGGTCAAATTACCAATCCTCAACAGATCAATGCTCATGATTGATTAAGAAAATCAATATCCCTGAAACCGAATATTATCCCACAAATTCATATCTCTACTTATTATTGACCTTATTTACCAAAATAAGCCCCAGGTGCAAAGAAAACAAAAGGGGATTGAAAAAATGTCAGAACAATCTTCCCATATTAATGGAGTAAACATAATGTTGTACAAGCATACTTCATGTAAACGCTATATCATCAATATTGTCTTGTGTGCTTTTCTTGTAATATCCATCAGATACATCCAGCATGGTGACACATGGTTACTGTTGCTATGTACTTGTATATCTGTAGACTTGGTTTCATCGCTATATTGCTGAAATAATGCTGATGCAGTGTTACATCTGAACTCACTGCTGCTGTATTTACCACTAGGACTACACAAACCGATGTAGACTTGGTCTCATCACTATATTTCTGAAATAATGCTGATGCAGTGTTACATCTGAACTCACTGCTGCTGTATTTACCACTAGGACTACACAAACTGATGTAGATTTGGTCTCGTCGATATATCGCTGAAATAATGCTGATGCAGTGTTACATCTGAACTTACTGCTGCTGTATTTACCACTAGGACTACACAAACTGATGTAGACTTGGTCTCGTCGATATATCGCTGAAATAATGCTGATGCAGTGTTACATCTGAACTCACTGCTGCTGTATTTACCACTAGGACTACACAAACTGATGTAGACTTGGTCTCATCGATATATCGCTGAAATAATGCTGATGCAGTGTTACATCTGAACTCACTGCTGCTGTATTTACCACTAGGACTACACAAACTGATGTAGACTTGGTCTCGTCGATATATCGCTGAAATAATGCTGATGCAGTGTTACATCTGAACTCACTGCTGCTGTATTTACCACTAGGACTACACAAACTGATGTAGACTTGGTCTCGTCGATATATTGCTGATGCGGAGTAACATCTGAACTCACTGCTGCTGTATTTACCGCTAGGGCTACACAAACCTTGACTACAGCATGATGATACCTGTATTGCTAAGACAGCTTGTGCAACAACACCACTGTCATCTAATGTAAGTTTAGGTAAAAGATTAAATGAAAAGAAATAAGAAATTTTGCCACAAACTTAATCCTACCTTATCTCCTGTAGATGCTTGTTCTGTGATAAGGACTGATGTATCGCCGGTTATTTTTGGATGGAGAACAGTTTGACTGGTCACAGTTTGATATTGATCAATCAGAGATCATAAAAAGTGAAACGCTCTGGAGGAAGCCTTCATAATGAAAACAACATAATGACCTACACCAGTCAGTCATTCAGTGACTGTCACATTTCAGTGTGCTAACAGTTTGGACATTGTGGACAACAAAGAGTTGATATGAGTCTCACTCATTCACTCACTTATCTGACCACCAAACGGTTTTCAATGAGCCAGGCATAACGAGAGGAGAGGAGAGGAGAGGAGAGGAGAGGAGAGGAGAGGAGGAGAGGAGAGGAGAGGAGAGGAGAGGAGAGGAGGAGGAGAGGAGAGGAGAGGAGGAGGAGAGGGGGGAGGGAGGGAGGGAGGGAGGGGGAGGGAGGGAGGAGGAGAAATTAGGTTTAACTTCGTGCTTGAGAATAATTCGCTCATATGACGACGTGCATGCATGAGTATGTACTAGCCCAGACTTAAGCTGGTTTTATAGCCCACTGAGATACCATGCCGCAACAAAACATGAATACCCCACTCAGACACATTATACTGACTCCGAGCCGACCAGTCCTTATTGTACCCATTAATGCCGAGTGCCAGGCAGGAACAACAAGTACCATATTTTAACGTCTTTTGGTATGACGCGGTCGGGGATCGAACCTGCGACCTTCCGCTCTCCAGGTGGACGCTCCAACCACTACACCAGTCATAACTCAGGTAGAAGGACTCTTGTTTCAAATACATTAATGTTCCCAGTGAGTGAGTGAGTGAGTGAATTTGGTTTTATGCCGATTTTAGCAATATTTTAGCAATATTCCAGCAATATCACGGCGGGGGTCACCAGAAATGTGCTTCACACATTGTACCCACATGGGGAATTCGGGTGACTGTTCCCAGTGAACTAATCAAGCTTTAATAGCAAAGTTAAATGTAAATTCTAAACCT